TATATATTGGTTGACTGACAAAGCGTATTTAAAGAAAGAATGCAATAGATATTTAGATAAAACGCATGTCTATTGGGTCTTGACGTCGTCTAAGAATTCGAACTGATTTTTCTTGGACATTGTCAAAGTTCATTTGAATCAATTTTGAAGCATTTTGATAACCGAAATTTATTGAAAAGAAAATTCTCTGATTTTTCAAAATCTTGTAAGATCCGACTATAATGAATCTCTAGGTAGATTTGCAGCACTACAAAGAGAGAAGAGAGACAGACAGACAGACAGACAGAAGATTAATGAATTCAATAGCAAAAATACTCTCTTGCATATGAAATCATTGCTTTCAAACAAAACATTTGAATAAATGAAGTAAGGGTATAACAAGTTAGTGACTAATAACGAATTACGAGTAACAAAAAATATAGAAAGTAAACGTTAAATGCTGCTTTTCGTTTGTTGGTTTGGATTTTTACTCTTTGGCAATGAAAAAACTTCGAATAAGTAGAACAACTGAATACATAAATTCCAGTTATGTCAAAATTTCTACAGTAAAACACGTCAATAAAAACAAGCGATTCGTCTTTTTCATCTAATGTCATAAGAAATCATTACCAAATACAGAATAATTGGAGTTTTAACGGAAGAATATAATAATATGAACTGAATAACTATGACATGTTCTTTTTGAGTTTTATCTTTGATAATTAATAATTATCAATATTATTGCTAAAAATGTTATCGCTCAGGAAACGATTTTGCTGCTTACATTTAATTAGAACACTGAGGTATCTATTATATGCATATACCATTGATTCCTATATTGGTATGTCATAGAATTTTGATAAAATACCCTTTTTAAAATACGTTTAGAAATCAATTTAATTTGTGTTTTTGAAAAATGTTTTAAAATAAATAAAAAATTCTTAATTAAATTTCTAAACGTCTAAGTGTATCTGATTTCCTATTCAGTGTGTTCGAATATGTCCAATTTTATTGACTTTGCATTCGATTTTTCTGTGTATGTACTTTAGGGATGTTTCTTATCACGTTCATCAATTTGAGATGTGTGGAACAAAAAACAAAACCGTTTTTCTTCTTTTGATCCATCTAATAAAATGCTGAGGCATGTTGATAATGAATCAGTTTTTATGCTGGAATAACTGATTTGATGTTTTTCCATATGGATATTAACCGTAGTATCAACTTTCAACATTTTCTAAAATTAATTTTATAATAACAAATCTTTAAAAAGATTTTTGACGTTTTTCAGAATTAATATATTCGAATCTACAATAAAATCAATCTCACGTTCTTTTTTAACTGTACAATGTATGTATTTGTTAACATAACAAAATCTGTGAAAAACAAATATTGACCATTCATTGTTTAGAAGCAAAATGATTCATTTCATTCAATTTTATCTTATTCTGTCTACATAACCTTTTATTCGTTTTCCTTAGTTTTTTTGTATTTAATTTTTTTCTAAAGATAGAATATTTGAAATGAAAAAAATAGGAAAAAAAATATTTCAATATTACTATGAATTATTAATATTATTTGGTAATATATTGTAGATATTATTTAATTTATTGTTCAATGAATTAAAAATGAATTAAATTGATTATTAATTAGAAGTTTATAAACAATGTGTCAAGATTTTATATTAGTTGGTGAAAAATAAAGAAAAGATATTTTATTAAAACCATCAATAATAGTATAATTATTTCCATTCATCGGCAATTGATATGAATCTTTTCCAAAACTTTACCAATGAATGGAGTTTATTTTTTCAAATCTATATTTTATTTTATTTCCGTCATTGATTCTTTTATAATGCTTAATGTATAATGTACAAAGTCTTGCATAAATACAGATCTTACTTTCTTATAATAAAAGTCTTTCGAACAATTTAAAATTAGTACGTGGAAGCACAATTATTCATTGAGATGTTTACATTCTAATTGGGATTTTTAAACAAATAAACTTTATTTAATGTAGTAGTGTGTTTTATATAGCTTTATAAAAAAAAATTTTAGCATTTTTCCCATATGGAAGTATTTTAATATAAACTATGAAATAAATCAAAGAATGCGTTGTACAATTGTTTCGTTAGAGAGAAAAATCCATGAATTTCTTGTATTTAAAGAGAGATATTTATGCCATTTAAAAGTCTTTTCATCAATGAATTATGTCCAAGATGAAATCGTATATTGAAAGATTAATATTAATCTTTAATATTTGTAACATATACTCCAATAATAATTGATATTCTATAGAGAAACTTTTCTCAGAAATGATTGATTATTGAAAATATTTCTTATGAATATTTCAGAAAATCTTCTCATTTATTCTATATAAATCAAATTTTTGGCATTTTATTACGAATGTTGTTTAAAAAACATGAAATTTAGAAGAACAATAAGCAGGAGATCGTTGAAATGTTTTAATCTTTATCCAATAAGATTTTTGTTTGTCAAAGTCTTTTAGATAACAACTACACAATATTTTTTGTAAAAATTAGATTTGATTTAATCGATTTTGTTTCTTTCCAAGACATTTTAGTTGCACATTGTTATGAAAATAACTAAGTTTTTATTGTTCACGAAAACATTCTATTATATAAAGATCAATTAAATATTTAATAGAAACTTTCCACATTAGAAGTTATTTTTAATCTACGAATGTCAAAAACGATTAAAATAAACAAACCCATAATAAATATATTTAAAGCCTTAAAATATTGAAAATGTTTCTAGGAAAAATCAGCTTCTCTATCTTCTCTAATAATTCCATTATTATTATATTGAGAATAGAAATCTTTTGCTTATATAATATAATTTGAAGATGGAATTAATTCTACTTTAATTAATAAAAATAAAATATTCAAAGTTCAAGTTAAATTTATTCTCAAATGTATTAAAGATTTAATGCATAAAATAAAAATTCTGGATTAAGACGTAAAGAACAAACCTGTACCAGTGATCGATTCGAATCGGATCATGAAAGCTCGAATCAGACCGTGAAAATATTTTTCAAGCTCGAGATCGGATCAGATCACAAAAAATTGACGGATCTCGAGTTTCGCATGAGAAAACAGCAATTTTAGACGAGATAATGATTCTTTTATTTTGAATATTGAGAGACTTCGTATAAATCCACTGTAAAAATTGTTAATGTCTGAAAAAAGTCGCCTTGGTTGATCAAAACTATCTTTGACATCGGGTCGAATTGAATCATGTTCGGATCGAACCAGGTCTACTTTTATTCAGCTCGGATCAAGTCGGAGCATGACAAACTCGATCCATGTCGGACACTGCCGTGTATATTAGCAGATAAGATATAGTAGTGTTGATTAATAGATCCATCATGCAACTATAGACAAGAATTGAAAAAAATAATTGCATTCGAATATATCAAATCAATTGTATTTAAAATAAGAGCATTATATATTGACGAATGTATTAAAGATCTTTTTTTATTGATTGAAAAAAAATAGTTATATATTCAGTTCAAGTCGTTATGATCGATATAAGAGAACATCTAAATGTTGATTTTTTCGCATGAAATAAATCTTATTCAAATTTCAAGTGACTCGAATGACATCATTTTTTTTCTATACGTGTTGATTTTCAATGGCATATGAAATGATGCATATCAAATCTACGCATTTGAAAGATACGACTATTAGACCTTTTCTCTTGTCTTTTATATTTATAAGAAAATGAATTTTCTCTGACATGGATACTATTAAATAACAGAAAGACAAAAATTATTTATTACGAATAAAAGACTTCTAACATTAATAAAAAAAGGAGCAAATAATTGATAACATTTACATTTTTCTTTTGTTTTTATGAAAATAAAATATTATTTATTTTATGTGATAACTTTCAGATTGAATTCTTTAGATAAATATCTTTATCTTCTATCTTTATTTCAATCGTACAAAAATCAATTCAAATAACATTGATCTTATTTGGATTTTAGCTGTGAAATAAACCTATAAAATATACATAGAAATCTTTTCATTTGACGATTATGATGTAGTTTTTATTAATTACAGTGAAAGGCACTTCGTCATTATGCCTATTTTATTGAATATAAGCGTGTTCTTAATACAAAAGTCGCTGTGTTAACGTATATTTTAAAAATAAAATCAACCGAATTCACTTTTATATTAACATACATCTGTATAAAAACAAGATTATATTAAAATCATATTTTAAAATAAAACCTATTTTGATCGTATATATTTATTGCTAGTGAGAACCCATGCATACTGCACGATCGTTTTCTCCTTCAGCGTACTGCCTCAGACGTTCCCAGTGAAAAATGTTGCCAAAAAGAACGCGTCCCGGTGTTGTTGAGAACGTTTTCTTTTCTTAAAAAAGTGCATTAACTTTTTTGGAACGCGTTCTTTTTTACAACATTTTTCACTGGGTTTAACCTAACATTCCGTAACAGACATACAGACATGAGATATCATGTATATAGATAAATAACCCAACGGCCTCATAGTCTTATATTGTACAAATTGTTATGGTTCATATAGTGTTCAGTCTTATAGCCTTATTCCCCTATTGCCTTATCCCTTATTCTTTTACTCTCTTTAGGGTCTATAGATATCCCCATATCATAGCCCTCGAGGACCTATGTCTACCTTATTTGACCTTTAACTTTCGACTCAGCACAGAGAAATATACTTACATATACTGAACATTATGTATATAGATTTGGAATTTATATAGAAAAATATCATAAAGAATTAATTATTTGACAATAGTTAAAATATGAACAAATGCTAATTTTATTTGATATTAAATCTACGAAAAGCATTACATGTGTGGATATACATTTAAAGATATCTACTCAAGTAAATATACAATGAGAAATAGAATTCTATATAAGTTTTAATTATTTATTCAAGAATTACAAAAAAAGCAAACAAAATTCTTATGAATTTTAATTTATACATATTTAATATTGTATAATAAGAAAAACAATCAAATCCAAAGACGAAATTTTGACATTTCAATATGAAGTCGACTGTTTGGAAAACGACTTTTAACCATAGAACGAAAAGGTTCGATTTTTTCAGGATGAATTCGTCCATAAATATCGATAAAAACCAATTCTTTCAAATTTTGAACTAATTGACAAAGATTTTGTTCAAAAACTGCAACATGGTCAACTAAATAAAAATAATTTGTTTTTTCTAAATCTGTCTGATATACTTACCAATTGATTGAAATGTTCGTAAAGATTCAATCCATCGTCCACTATAAATTTGACACATACGCTCTGTTTCATATTCTGGTCGAACTTAAACAAATAAAAGAATTTTTTGAAAAAGATATATATCAACTTCTATTATTCTTCAAACAAATCAATTAGGAACAATCTTAGATAATATTCTTCAATATTAATGTCTTTTTTTTTAAACAAATCTTCATGATTATTCATTTTATCAAATGAAATTTTTTCGCAAAATAAATATTTATACCTATTTTGAAATATGATTGTCTGAGAGAACGATTAAAAAGGATGAACTTGATTGTTTTTTACGACTGAAAATCTATTTGAGAGAAGAGAGAAACTTCTCGGATATGACATATAGTCTAAGATGAAATTAGTGTTATTTTTTTTAAAACTCCTTTAGTACATCATCTGGTATAAGATATCCATTTAAGATAGACATTCATTAGCTAAATTTAACGACTGTTCGTGCTGCGTGTCTCGTTCGAACCAAAAAAGAATGATAGATAACGCTCGAATTAAGTTTATATTGACACATTTCATATTTAAGGAAAACAAAATTCAATGATAATTAACAAAATGAAATATTCACATCTTGAAAATTGAGCTCATTAAAGATGATATTCAACTTTGAACTATTTAAAATAAAAGTAACTTTCAATTAGAATTACAAATATTCTTTAGATTTAAATTAATCAAAAAGAAAAAAGATTTTTATGAAAATGTTAACTTACTTGATGTCCAAGGAAAATCATCATCTCTCCAAAGACGTAATGTTTCTGTATGTGGCATATAACAACTCAAAACTGATACCAAGTTTTTTTCCATATGAATTGATTCATTTGAACCATAATGGCAACTCGGGAGACAAAATTCAGCATGTCGAATGGTACTTAATGCATTTTTTCTTAGTTTATCAGATGCCTAAAAGTAAAAATGAACTTTATTCATCAAAAATTGACACTTACCATAAAGTAGATATGTGCAGGATAAGCTTTTTTTGTACCCTAATTCTACTTTACTGTACGACATCTTTGTCCTAATTCTACTCTATCCTGCACATCTCTAATTTACAATAATAGAAAAACAAATCATTAGTAGTCATTCTCATGTTAAAACCGAATAGGATTTATTTTTTTCAAATGTAAATAATTCTAATATATTGAATTTCTCTTTTCTATGTATAATCAGCAAGTTCATCACGCAAATCAACCACAAAATAATTCTAAATCTCTAAAGATTTTTTCATAGGAAACAATTTATTGCGTCGGATTGTTCATAATTTATAGAATCTTATAAACTTTCATTAAGAAACTATGATGAGTCTGCATTAAGATTTCTTGAAAGTATAAACAACTTACTTACATATACAAATACATCTTAACATAGCTAGTAGAAAGCACTCGAATTCTCTCCTAGAACTGTGTAAATGATTGACAAAATATATATATATATTGCAGAGATGAAACAATGCTTCTATGACAAACACGCGAAAATTTACGAAAAAAAGAGCATATCAACAACAAACATCTATCGAATGTTAAGGATTGATTTTGATCTATTTCGAATATAAAAAGGTCAATCACCTTTTTTAAAATTTATAATGATCGCAAAAATTATGATGACGCAGTTTATTAAATGGTTATTCAACAGATTTATCAAAGATATCATTAAAAAAAATGATTCTTTCTCAAAAAAAAAAAAAAAACGTTTGCTTCAATAATACTCTCTAGATACATTCACAAAAGTAACGTAACACTTTCTAGTGTGTGTCATTTTCTATATGATGAAAATCTATATTACGGAAAAACCTGAACATTGTTCTTTCTATAAAATCAAACTCAGTTTTGTTTTCAATAAAAAGTCGATTTAATAAATACTTACATATTCAATAAGATCCAATAGCCATTGAAATTGTTCCATTCGTAGATAAATCAGTTGAATTGGCATTGAAATAAGATAGGCAAGAACTTCTGCGCGTAATTTATTTCGATTGATCAGTTTATCGTGATATGCTACAGATATATAATTAAAAGATTCAATGAAATTTTATATTAGAATTTAAGAAAGTGTATGCATTCTTAAATCAGTTTAATCAAATTTTTCATTATTTATTTTCAATAAATAATTTCTATTATACTCGATAAAATGTTTGATAGATATTCCATCGTTTATGTTTATTTAAAAAGATTTACTTTGAAAATGAGAGAAAAAAAAAGCAAGATTTCTTCTGATTAAAATCTATCAACTTATTCAAGTCTTAGCAAAAATTATTCATATAATCATTGATATCAAGCAGAAATCGTTTTTTTTTTCATTATTTAATCCTACTCGAATATACCTAAATCATCGATTGAAAACACTCTTAGTATCAATCTTAAAGTAGTGTGTATCATGTATAAATCGAGTATTTCCATATGCCATCCAACTCGTATGATTCTTGGAAAGTCAACTTCTAGAATATATTATTTATTAATAAGAAAATAGAATAAGTTCTCTATCGTCATAGGCCATCAATGAAAAATAACAACTTGCATAAGTACTCATTAAGAGTAAGAAGAATTAGTTCTCTCATAATGATGATTGAAACAAAAAAGAAATAGTTCATTATGATGTTAAAATCAAATAAAAACATACCAGAATTACGAAAAAAAGCAGATCCAAAATTAAGTCTTGTAACGTATCGAAAATGAATATCAGTCAATTGACAATATTCAACATCCAATAATGAACGTAAAAACACCGAATATTCGGATTCACTAACTTGATTGTGTCGTCCTTTAACAATAAATAAAATATATTGCTGTTAAATTTATAAACTTCTCTAAACAAATATATTCATTCAATAAATCATTTTTCTAAAATATAATCCAATTCTATCAATATCTGCGAACCCTCCATACTAGTTTTTTTTCTTTCCGAATTTCTAGATTATTATTTATTAGTAGAAGATATTCTCAAATAAAGTTGAAATGCTTCACTATCTAAAATTTACTCTCGATTAAAGCCGATTGTGACTTCTACTAAAACCGATCAAATGAACTTTTATGGTTAATTTGAAAATATGATTATACGAAACATATTTGTCAACATATAAATATTTCGAATCTGATTTTGTCTTTTTTCATTGAATGACTTTCAATGACCCTATTTACCCATATTAAATTGAATAGATTTTATATGAGGATATAGAATATCAAATTGTTTTAGACATTCAATAATTGATGGACATAAATTAATCATCATGTATTTGACACATTCCCAATCGAAAATTATTGGATAATCTCTGAAAAACAACAATAAAAAAAATTTCATGTTTTTTTCTCCAAACTAAATAACTTACATAATCCCATGAAAAAATATCGGCTTAATTAGTGTTGTTGATGATATATGCTGATATGACATAATTGAATCGAAATAACATTGAATATTTATCCAATAACGATAAATAAAAAACTGATCGGTTTTAAATGAATCAATTATTCTTTGAATATCATTTTCAAATAATAATTTACAACTTGAGACAATATAAAAATCAAAATCAATTAAATGAATTAATATATCAGGCATTATATATTTACGAAAGAAATTTACATCAATAACACTATTTTTGTTCATTGAATCTTTTATATGAAGACGAACTTTTAATTTTTCAATATAATTAACTTTATTAATAATCCATTTTAGGTAATTTAATTGCGAATCGTTAAGAATAACACTTTTTAAAGTGAAAAATTTCAATTGTGGCATCTAAAATAAATACTTTTTCTTTACTTTATTTTCTATATATTTATATTCTTTGATAAAATTGTTCAACACCAATCTAATCAATCAATTTACAGACAGGTATTTACACGTTTTTCTTGAAACATTTTAGATGAGAATTATTTACTGATTAATATAAGAGTCAGATTACCTATTGTTTCTGTTTTAAATTAGTCTACTATTCAAATGATTTACTTAAATGGTACAAATATTCTTTTCTCTTATTGATTAATGACTCATCGGTTTATGTCAATCCCTTCGTTCACTTTATTAATCTATTCAATTTAACAAAAAATTTGACTTAAATGATCTTTTCCAGTCTCAACATTTTCCTACAAGAAAAATAGCCGAGTTATACAAGTTTCGGGCGGGACTAAACGCATCATTGGAGTTCGATTCTGGCCTCCCAATAAATCAGATATCGGGCTCAATCAATCTAAATTGACGTTAATATAGCATACGAAAAAAGATTTATTTATACTAAAACAATGACAAGGGTTCGTTTGACCAGTGCTATTGCGAGAAATCTATTTTCCTCTCATTAAACGATGATTATAATATTTACCTTAGTATACCAATTGATAATACTTGATGCAAATCTTTTCATTTGCGGCTCATCCGATAATTTTTTCATTAATGTATGTTTAAATTGAACTGATAAAATTTCAAGATTAGGTACATGTTCAATAAGATTTTCAAGAAAAGAACCATCAATTAAATCAATCTTCAAATAACGAAGACTTTTACAATGAGTAACAATTTCATTGTGAATTACATCTGAATTAATATTATAAGTTAATGATAGAAATTTATGAATATTAACACAACTATCATCGTTTGATATGTCAAGTTCGAGCGATGTTAAATGACATTTATTGGAAAATAATTTACGTATAAATTCTTCAAACATTAACATCAAATTCGATCCTAGAAAATAGCTAAAACTTTTTCAAAAAATAAAATATGTTTTATTTACTTTGTTTACAGCGAATTATGCGTGACAATCTTTGACATTGATATGATTGAAATACATCATTATCAAATGTTAATACTAATTCATTCAATTGATATTCAATAAGTAGTGATAAATTTTCAATTAAGTTTTCAGTTAAATAACATTTTCGAAGAATAACTTTTTTAAGATTAATAAAACGAAGAATTTTCGAATGAAATATCCATTCAGATATAATATCACAACAATTTACATTTATCCCATCGATATAAATCGATTGTATACAGTTTAAAATAAATGATAAATCATTAATTTTAGATGTTATTATTGAATAACATTTATTAAACGATAAACATCTTTTATTAATAACAATTTCATTTTTATTCATTAAAAATTTTAAATAAATTATATTATTTAAACGTTTATTTAATGAAGAAAATGATTCAATTATTTCAAACAATGTCATATGAGAAAATATCATTAGAAATATTTCATTTGGAAGATTTTCTAATTTATTTATCATTTTATCTAAATTAAAATAAAAATTTATTTTCAATTTATCTAACCGACATTAATACTTCTACGCCATTCATTTTTATCCGGAATGATCTGAGAGAGAACATAATCAATATACCATTTTTGTAGAACAGAACGAACTGTTTTGATAAATAGATAGGAATGTCCAGAATTTCATATTCTATCTTTCCTATATATTCAAGATGATAACAGACTTATTTTATCGGGTGATTTTTTTCATATAAAGGCTTTTTATGAAGAGAATTATCCATTTGAAAATAAAATTTGATAAAAACAAAACAACCGTCTTTTTACCTGAATCGGATAGAAAGAATTCCAATAAGGAGAACAGATATTTAATATACAATGATCAATTTATGTGACGGTGACACTTATTTATGATGAATGAGGAAACAGGGTATAATCGCTTCCTTTTTCTTTTAAAAAAAATCAACAATTTTGACGGAGAATATTCCTATCCGACTGATATGATGAACTATGAAACATATCTTTCTTTTTCTCTTTCAATACGGGCGCGTTTCAATTTAAAGGTACCCCCCCCCTCTTTTTCGATCAAAAACTCGATTTCGAGTTGAGCATAAGATACCATAGCTTCAAGTGTTGTGTACAATTAGACACATTAAGCGGCTCTAAATACCTTACTATTACAGAGTTACTGAATTAAAAAAAAAATTTTTTTCATAGTAATCGTAAGGAAATTGTTTTTTTTTTCTTAGCGTATCTCAAAATCACGATTTTCTCGATCTTGACACATTACGACCCTCCTTAAATTATGTCTAATCGGACTGCAATTTTTACCACTAATACTTGGAAGTGTTCTCCAGAGGTAAAATCGAGCGTTTTCATTTTTGGCATTCCTATCCGAAGTTACAGGGGTTTGAAAGCCAAGACCCGAAGCACAAACTCAAATCTTGGCGTATTTTTCTTATAAAAATAAATGCGGAAACTTCGGATTTAAATCCGAGAGTTATGTGTACTTCAAAAAGTGAATCATACGAATCAGTCATCCTAGAATGTCTGAACATCAAAATTATAGTGGGAAAACTAACATTGCAAATGTTGATTTTCATTACGCGTTGCCAAACCAATTGGACTTCGGATCGAACAGCTCAAGTTTGAACTCTTTCCCTTGATCTACCCTA